CAGAGAGAGAGAGAGAGATCATGTGTAAGTGTGTAGTAGTAGTAGTAGTAGTAGTAATGTTAAGAACACCATTATCTACATCTATTGGTATTTTTGAGTTAAAGAAGTTATTTAGTGACTAAGTGAACATCAAAGTGCAGTTCATTGTTTTCTATAAAATATGGGAATAAATGCTTACAGACTATTTCAATAGGAGGAGGGAGGATAGTGGAAATTTAATCACTTGATCAAGGTATCTGTCACATGTTTTCTTCTTGGTATATTGGAAGTTAGAATTAATGAGATGATTGCATGAAAGATTAAGCACTATTGCAAATCATTTGTTTAAATACGTAATTGTACATTTCTATTTATGAGCAATTTTTTTGATAATGCAAAAGGATACATACATATGTGTGTGTATATACACATACATACATACATATTTATTTATTTCTATTGGTAATTAAGTTTCCTTATATATTTTTGCTTTTTACATTCTTTTTGTTCAGCTGTTATCAAAACAATGGGTTTCTTCACAGACTACTGGCTGTCAGTTTTTCCCAACTCCAAGTAGTAAAGAAACAGTGCAAGAGCAGGGATTGCTGATGTCCAAAACTGTTCCAGACTTGCATATGGATAATAAAAAATCCTTTTTCAGTAAGAAAGTTTTGATTGTTGATGATATAAATAACAGTTGTGCCAGGTTTTTGTAATGCTCCAGTTGGTATTTGAGCATTCTTAACCTAGCTTGATCACTGTCAAGATGTGATTCATATGTTAAGAAATGATGCTGAAATTCATATCCCTTCCCACGTGGCTGGATCATGACATTTTGCTCAATGCACAATGATTTTTCTGCTCGTAGAAAGGATTTTCTGTGTCTCTCTTAGTTTTGAAGAAAATAGCAATTCCAAATTTTCAGGAGTATGTATAATCAAAGTTTTAAGATCCTTTTGTTTAACAAAATCATTAGGCTACATTTATTGTAACTTACCTTCCAATAAGAAATACAATGTGCTGATTACAATGACTGCAGATGAAGTTTTTGCTAGTGAACATATTTAGGGAATGGCAGTCCATTCCAGCAAATATGGACTGAAAATAATACTAATATTCAATGTGTTATGATATTATTGATATACTTTTGTTTTCAAGTGTCCACATACTGTACCCTGTTTTATAGGAATGGGAAAGTCCTTGTGTCCAGAAAATGATATGTCTGTCCTCTTACCTGCTCATAGAACACAAACTCCACTTGTTTTTGGACTTATAGATAAGCAGCTTTCTGATTCCCAACTTTATTCCAGTGCAAAGATCTGTAAACAGATTCCTCACTGTTGTGGTTTCTCAGTAGTTAACACATATGACAAGTCAGAAATGTTAGGGCCTGAGGACAGGATGTGTAAAATTTTTGCGGATGAAAAGTATATAGGAGTAAGAGACAAGATTGCTATACAGAATGCATTTCCTAATGTGTCTGAACAAAAGGAACAAAGCAAATGGCAGAAATACCACAACACAACTGGTTGTGATTTGAGATCTCAAAATAGCAATGAAGTGGCCATGGCTGATGATATCCAAGCTGAGAATTTTTTAGGAATGTCATTAGAATACAGAAGAGAGAATCAGAGTAATGTCATCTATAAAAGCCCTCTGGACTCTGTGCATCTGGAGACAATAAAAAGCATGCTTTGTAAACAGCAGCGAAACTTTATCAGCCAAGATTCTATTTCAGAAAGAAAGAAACTTTCCCTGCACTTAAATCAACATTTTTGCACTGAGGAAGCTCTAACTGAGTTAGGTCACCTGATTTTTCCCAACATAACCAGAGATAGCAAGGTATGTAATTATTCCCAGTATTAAGAAATGTTGTCAAAAATTGTCCATTATGCGTACTTGCGGATTCGCCTTGTTGTATGTTCCTAATATTTTCTCTTACAGGGTTTTTTTTTAACATGTTAAAGGTTTCCAACAATACTGTGTTAATAGGTTTCAAAATATTTAATAATATTTGTTGCTACATTTAAGATATTGAGCCACTTCTCATAATCACATTGTATTATTAAATCAATATATGCTTTTATTCATCCATCCTTTTGCTGCAAGCTATGGTAAAACAAGGAATCTAATTAATCATAGCCTCTCACTTAGACTAAACTGGGATGCTATAGTTGTAAGCTTCAGAACAAATCAATATCTTCAATCATTGTTTGAAGTTCTTAGGGTGATTTTTATGGATCAACAAAGTCGGGTTCCAAAATTATATACATTTTGGAGGCAGGATAAGTATATTTCCAGATTACTTAAAGTTACAATTTAGCATTTAAATAGATGTATTTTAAAAGATCCAGTTAAGATCCAGTATGTGGTCATAACAGCTGGAAGGACAGACATTATTGCCTTAATAAATGCTATATTCAGTTGTTTAAATATACTCTGCATATGAGAGTAGAAAAAGAGGAATTTGCTTATTTTATTTTTCAGGACACTTCTGAACTGTATTTCCCTAGGGCGGATATGGTAAAGAATACTAATGTACCTAAAAGGCAGAAATACATTCCAGTTGAGTTTCAGTCACCAGCACACTATAAGAAGGTTTTTACTACTGCATTGATAGGTATGGTCCAACTTTTTATTTTAGTACTGCTACTCAAAATTCATAAATGGTTCTAAAAATGCATTGCTGTCAAGGTTTTTGATTAGACTTCTCAAGAGGTCAAATTTTATGGGACCAGTAGTATAGCAAATGGGATTTCTAACCAATATAAACTGCCTTGACCAAGATTATTATAGTTTTGCAACAGAAAAATTACATAGTAATTTTCTCCCTGGCCCTTACTTCCAAAGTCAGTTAGTACCTTTCATTTCATTTCACTTAACCTGCATCATAGGTCAATGAAGGAGACTCTAGCAGTATTGTATGGCAACCCATATTTAGCACTAAAAATAATTGATAGGTTTTCTAATTGTTTCCCCAATGTTTCCCTTATAATCTGTCTATGGATGACAGTATAATTAAGAAATTCTTAGTTTTAAAGAACTTTCAAAAAGTTTTTAATTTAGTTTTTCCCTTCCCTAAACTAGAGCCATTATTAAACATGAAAAGCTGACTAGGCACCTCAAGCAAATCAATAGATTTGATAAGCAATGAGATATATTAAATACATGTTTTTCCCACATTCTAATTGCATAATATCTCATATTATTTCTTATTCTTATGAAAAGAACATTTAAACGTATTATTGTTTGAATTATCACAAAACCTACATAAAGCTCTTGGGAAAGTGGATATATCTTTCTATACATCAGTGAAAGAAGGGCAACAAGAGAATTCTGCACCTCTCTGCAGCCACAAAATAGCAACTAAACTTGTTATGGTTAGAAAAGAAGGCCGAAATAAGGTATGTTTTTAGAAGCTTAGTTAACACGCATTATCAGAATTGTTTTAACCGTGGTTTTACTAGGATAGACATTAATGGTGCGTGCACATGAACTGCATAGGTGTACATATTTTTGTGAAAATGCAAATTTTAAAATGTCTAATTTGTGCATATCGGCTTGTATTTTGGGAATAAAATAATTTATTATACATTTTATCAGAATATTTATCTGACAAATATTGAAATTAATAACCATGACAAAATATTTTGAGCATTTTAACAGTAAACTGCTGAAGCAACTCAGTTCTGCGCACACTGTGGGGAAGGGGAATAGTTTCCCTTTCAACAGAACCTATTTATGATATTGAATGGCCAGTGATCTGATTTCCTATGTATAAGTTTTGTTTTTGTAAGTGTAATAATGGTTGCTGGAAGATTTTGTCCCTGTGAATTTTCCCAGTGAATATCATTCCTTAAAACCTGGTATTTGCTCCTTTAATAGAAAATAGTATGAAGGGAAACAAATTTAACAGCGGGAAAAATAAATATGATGCATCAGCTCAATAATCTGATATTGTATCTAGTTACAAGTTTGTACTATCTGTGACTCAGAAGCCATATCACTCAAAATCAGTTTAACTGAATCAGCATCTTCCGAGAGATTTGTTATATGATCCCAAAAGTCACTTGACCTATAAAGTTAAGTTTTCTTTCTTTCTTACTTTCCATTTTGAATGAACTGTAATCAGGTTGTCTGTTTGATAGATCTATACACACACAACTGCACACGCACTTACATAAATTGATCAATTTTACGGCTTGCATTTTGTTTCAGGGTCGTTTTTTCTATGCTTGTGATGCTGCTAACGCAGATCGATGTGATTTTTTTAAATGGCTTGAGGATGTAAAACCTACACAGATGGAGAGTAAACCTTGTATTATACTTCATGATATAAAGAGTATTGGAACTTATCTCAGATGTCAAAGAATTTCTATCTATGAAGAATGCCAACTTCTAGTAAGGTACTGTATGTTGAAATGTTAAGTACGCTTGAATAGTAGTTTATAACTGAAAGGAAGTGGTGCTAATGGATAATAAAGATGGTATCTATATTACTTAAGGTTTTTTTTAGAAAGAGTTACTAAAAAGTAATTAAAAAGTACTTTGTTATTATAGTGCAAAAATAGTAATAACAACAAGCCCAATATTACAAATGAATTTCAAGCAGATGGTGTCAGCTTGAGCACAACTAAGCAACTCCTTGGATCATGGTATCTCCCCTGCCAGGTAAGTATACTACAGTAGTTTAACACTTTCACTCAATATCTGTTACACATACTAATATTGATATTAATGAAGAGTTTATTCATTATTTTGACTAATTTTAAAGCTCGTGTCCCCAGTTGTTTTATTATTTTTTCATTTCGTGAAAACCCATTGTTAGTATTTGCTTATAAAAGCAATATATAAATTTAGGGTTCTTATATTTCATTTTTACAGGAAAACTTTTGATATTCAAAGAAAACAGTTTGGTAAACAGAAGAGATGTAGTATTGCAAAGGCTAGCTTTGATTGTGATTCTAATAGCAAATTATTTCTTAAACTGAACCGGAAGGAGCACTCTTCTATGTACAGCAAAGGTTGGTAAACTTGAACATCTCTGAGACTGGGAAAAATTTATGTTACGTTACATTACATTATATTATATTACATTATGTTACAACATAATGTTACATTACATTATATTTATTTGTTAACTGACCCAATCTATACCACAGACTGAGAACAAACCAAAAATATACAAATAATAACATAATAAACAATTTACGATATAAAAGTATGGAAAAATTTCCATGCACCAACCAGCTGGAGCCAGCAGTCTGGGCACTGTATTTTGGACTAATTGGAGCTTCCAGGTTGTCTCCAAAGACAGCTCCATAGAGAGCACATTACAATAGACCTGCTCTATGGTGATCAGGCTGTGAGTTATTGTTGCCAAGGCATCCTGCTAAAGATAGGGCTGCAATTGGTACACCAGTCAAAGTTGAGCAAAGGCCCAACTATGGCTTCTACCTGCTGTTTAAGAAGAAGCCATACGTCCAGAAGGAACCCCAAGTCACAGACCGTTTCTTTTGGGGGAGAGTGCAGCCCAATCCAGAGTTACTATCAAGACCATTGCTACTTGATTGTCTTAATATTCATTGGGGGGAAAATCCCTCTATCTTGAAAGATTTAATCTCAGCTTGTTTTGTTTCACCCAGCTCCCAGTAGCCTGCAGATACTGGTTTAGATTTAACCTCAAACCATCAGACGACTTTATTTATTTAATCATTTTATATCGCTGCCCATGTCACATACATAACTCTGGCATGCCCTCATTTCTCCTGTTCAACATCTATTTGAAACTGCTGGGCCAGGCCATCCGTTGGAGTCAGATAACATTATTTGATTGATTGATTGATTGATTGATTGATTGATTGATTGATTTAATTGATTCCTATAACTGCCCACAAAACACATGACTCAGTTGCTTGATGACACAAAGCTGTGTATCTTGACCCCTGACTGACCAAATGATATTGTCAAGGTTTTGTCCCAGTGCCTGAATCTGTTGAGGTGTGGATGGGGAAGAATAGGCTTAAGCTCAACCCTAGCAAGGCTGAGTGGCTGTGGGTCCATGGACTATCTGGCTCTGAGGATTTTTTGATTTTAGTTCTGGATGGGATTGCACTTCCACAGACAGAACTGGTTTACAGTTTAGGGTTTTTCCTAGACTTGTAGCTCCTACTCAAAGAGCAGATGGCAGCTGTGGCCAGGAAAGCTTTTGCATGGATTCAACTTGTGCATCAGTTACACCTGTTCCCAGACCAGGAGACCCTTCTTTCAGTAACTCTGCCTTAATCACCTCATGTATGGATTATTGCAATGTGCTTTTTATGGGGCTACCCTTGAAGACCACTTGGAAGCTGTAGCTGGTCCAGAATACAACAGCATGAGTAGTGTTGGACATACCTTGATATAGCCATGTAACATCTCTACTATGCAAGCAACACTGGTTACCATTGGGCTTCTAGGTGCAATTCAAGGTACTGGTTATCCTCTGTATACCCTATATGGCACAGGGCCAGACATTTGAAGGACTGTTTTCCCCAATTATTTCTGCCTATCCCATAAGAACCAACAGGGTTGGCATCCCTCAGGTCCTATCTGTTAAGCAGTGAAACTTTAACCCATCTGTTAAGCAGTGGAACTTAGGAGGCATGCCTTCTCTGTCATAACACTTACCCTTTAGAATAGCATCCTCCCCCCCCCCCCCGCCAGGTCTGGACAGCCTCAACCCTGCTGTCTTTCAAAACAGCCAGAGGAAATTGATCTTCCCCAAGCCCTGGAGAAGAGCCAGGTGCTCATATCTGCTAAGAAAAAGATAATGAACTATACAGTACATATTAAAGTTTTGGAATCTGTTTATCAGAAATTATGGTTGTATCGACTATGGGAGGAGGCTAAAAGAATCATATTAAGAAATTGGAAATGTGGTATTATTCCTGATGTTATATTGAAAACCTGTGATCTTTCTGTTTTGAAAAAGGCAATATTTTCTACTAATCAAAGGATGTTACGATGGCAGAGATTTTGTGATGTTTTACAATGATATTTTGTATTGATTATAATTTTGTGTTAACTACATTATAATTAGTGTATTTATTAGTAGACCAGTGAATATTGATAAATATATAAGGTAATTTTTCCTTTTTTCCCTCTTAGGGGTTGTTATTATTTTTTAACTTTTTTTCTTTTGTTTTGGTTTCTATTAATTTTTTTCTTTAAGTTTAAAGATTGTTTTGTTAATTGTGTATGTTACAAATCTAAAATAAAAAAGAGATATATATGTCATGTAGATGCTGATAAGTTTTTCCCCCGACATAACTATCTTTTATTTCAATATATTAATGTATATTTCTTTGTGTCTAATCCTTTTAAATTGCTTAAAGTCCTCAACTAGTAGGCGGCCTTAGAAATTTAAATTATAGATAGGTAAATAAATACATATTCTGATATTTTTACTTATTATTTAGCTTATGTAGTAAAACAGTTGTGAATGTCTTTTTTCTGTTCATAAAATAATTAAGTGATGTACATGATAAGAGTTAACATACCTCTCAGAGAAGTTTTTCATCTTAAATAGCATTCTTCAGAATATGAAATTACTTAATATGAAAATAAATATTTACCCAATGCATTTCTGATTAAGAGAAAGAAAAATACCAAAGTATTTTTTCACAGCAAGAAAAAGGAAGAAAAAAAAGGAAATAACTTTTTTCAAAATTTCATTTGTAGATGTACTTCTGAACTGCAAAACTGATAGCTTGGTGTAACTTATGCAAATGTATGTACTTTGTTGACAGATGATCTTTGGGTTGTTTCCAAGACTTTGACCTTTGAACCCTTGGACACTTTCATTGCATGTAGTGTTTTCTTTGGACCATCCTCTAACAATGAAGTGGAGTTGGAGCCTCTCAATGGTTATAGCCCCTCAAATTGGTGCTCAAATAGTACGTTTCTGCTCTGGATTTTTTTTTCTGTGTCTTAGAATAGATTACTCAAAATATGACTAACTCTCTAATATGCCATAAAACGAAATTAACAACGCATACACCTTAGTAGGAAACCCAGTTCATGGCATTTGATAAGTTAGAAAATCTAAGTAGCCCAAATATTTTAGCTACCCACAGGATGTTTTGCTGCAAGTGAAATGTGTTTGCTTGAAAATTATCTTAAATCATGGTCAGCTTGAAAAAGTTAAATATTTGCACAACTTTGACTAAACCCAAGGCATGATATGTGGTCTTTTAGGTTCTCAGAGGGTTAGTGAGAAAGCAGAGCTAGAGTACAGGGTAAGAATGGGTTGAACTGAAACACAATTACCTGCTTTTCTTACAGACACATATACATGGTATGTGTATAACTGGTAAGAAATACAAATATATCCTTGATAAGCAGACAGGATTAGATAACCATAATAAAAAACTCTTAAGTTCTAGAGAGCAACATAGGAATAGGAATGTTTCTTCTAATGTAAATGGTAGGTGCGTGTCAGTTCTGAAAAACATTGCTTTGAGGCCAAGGAATTAAAACACTCCCTGACTTATCCATTAGTCTTGTCAGGGAAAAACCACGTTAAACACGGGAGGCAGACACACCATAAAACAAGTTACTTCAAAGTTCTAAAAGCTTTATTAAATGTCAGTTCAACAAGCAAGTAAAGTTCAGTCAAAAGCATACAAGGTACAGTACTTACTTAGATTCACATTGCAATGCCGACCAACTTGACCGAGCTGTCGGGTAGACAGCTTGACCAAAACGGTACCGTCCCCTTAGT